ATGTTCAAAAGCATTATTAACAGATACTGAAGTTACTCCACAAGTCATACATAATACAAAGAGCAATTTAAATCTTAAAAGTTCACTAAACCCAAAAATGAAGTGAAAACAGGATAAAAATATGATTACTTACCTATTCTTGAATCTATTAAGTGCTCCTAGAAGTCTAAGTCCTAAATTGCATATTCTTATGACCTAGTTATTCCGGAGACGATCACACTACCTTTCCACCATCAGTGCCTTGCACGTGTGCAGCACTTTATGCCTTTCTAAGCAATTTCTACCCTTTCCTTTCCATGTCTTCACAATAACTTTCGAGTGAAAGTAGACCAGTTACTAATTTGGGCCGATCCTTCATATCCTTTGGTCTTTGGCCTAACCTGGCTTCTATAAACAGCAAAGAGCATCCAGCAGGTTTCTGATTCTTGCCTTAATTTCTTCTTTTGGCAACGGGGTTGATTCTGCTAGGGACCCTTTGAGGAATCATGCAGAGTGAGCCTCAGACCTGCACGTGTGAGTGAAGTGTGGCCTCGTTGGATGTTAATGCCCCCGGGACGCTTAGGTTTGAGGTTATCCAAACGGACACTTAGGTTTGAGGTTATCCAAACGTGTCCGTGGTGGTAAATGCAACGTATCTCCCCACGGAATTTGCATACGTTCCTAAGACACCAGCTCTGGCCTGGAGGACAGTAAAGGACTAAAGTATATCCTAAAAAGAACTCAGTGAGCAAGAAGGATCAATGAAAAAGAAGTTAATGAAGAATTTAAACTCTGGGAACATGACAGAATGTGTTTACTATTGTAGGATCCTTAAGAAATAAGTGATAAACGTTAAAGAATTTGGGAGGTGCAAAAGTATATTTTAAGAGCTGCTAAGTACTTCACAATTCATCTTAAAAAGAAAACCTGTCCGCCCCAACTCTATTTATTGACTATCTGCTGAGTCAAGCACGTTGTACTTGACACTGTCAGGACAACGAGCCTCTGTCATAAAGGGACCTGCGATCTCAATATGCAAAGAAAACACATCTGAAATGCGGGGAAAGGACGGCC